CGCCCGTTATACCCCATTTCCATTACTCCATTACCGTTACCATTACAACGGTCGTTACCGTTTTTCAAAACTATGCTTTCGTCAAAAAGAATCTCAGAATCAACTAAGCTTCAAGAGACTTTGAGCAAGACTTTCTTGTCTCAACTAAATTGATTTGGCAGTGGTTCATTTACGTTTATTTCATAACTACGCCATGCCTCTAATTATGTCTTCTGATTCTTCTCTTTACATCTGCATGCATGTGACTGGCTCATGGGTAGGGGAATGTTAGAGCTTATTGCACNTCGTGCCTTTGATTTATGTGATTGTTATGTAACGCCCGTTATACCCCATTTCCATTACTCCATTACCGTTACCATTACAACGGTCGTTACCATTTTTCAAAACTATGCTTTCGTCAAAAAGAATCTCAGAATCAACTAGGCTTCAAGAGACTTTGAGCAAGACTTTCTTGTCTCAACTAAATTGATTTGGCAGTGGTTCATTTACGTTTATTTCATAACTACGCCATGCCTCTAATTATGTCTTCTGATTCTTCTCTTTACATCTGCATGCATGTGACTGGCTCATGGGTAGGGGAATGTTAGAGCTTATTGCACATCAGAATAATATTCTCTGCAAAATAGTATATGAGCCTTATCAAAATTATCATTCCTTTCAATTGGTTTTGAGTTAGATGTTTTTGTTAGAGCATCAATCCCAAAACCAATTTATAATGGGTGGAATGGCCCCTCAAGTATATAAACAAACCTTGTAGCCTTAATTATTTGAAGTAGGAGACAAGCTCTCCCTCACATGAGAGTTGAACTTGCACCTGGGGTCGATAACCAAGCATATCAAAAAATTCAATTAGGTAAGAGACTTGACTCAATGACCCCTCAAGGCCCCAACTCGGACACCATATTAAAGCATCCAACGCAAAATCATTTGACAATGGGAGGAACAGCCCCTCAACTATATAAACTAACCTTGATGGTCCTAATTACTCGATGTGTGATACAAGCTCTATTACCCATCAAAAACAAGTCTTCAATTCCTAATCTTCAAAAATATCAGCTTTTAACCCCATTATTCATCAACCAAAAAGAGGAAAATCAAAAAGTCTAATTTCTTTCATCCATTAGTCATCATCCAAGAACTTTGCTCATCTTTAGTCATACTTGAGGTATATTGATGAAGTCCATTAGAAGCTCAAGAACGAGTAAATTCAAAGACAACGAAAAAAATTGGAATTTATACTGTTTTCCAGAAAGTGGAATTTATACTGTTTTTGACTGCCTTGCAAACTTGATAACCATTATAATTTGATTTCAAGTTTAGTAGAGTCATAATAATGCTTACAACTAGTCAGTTTCTAGTTTTTTATCAAGTGTTTTTGTTTTAAAAAAAAATATTTTGGAAATTTCATCTTTTGTCAGAAACAGCTCGGTAGATGACCAATGGTTTTTATTCCTAAATGGGTAATGGGTTTAAGCTATGAGTGTAGCAAGTTTAAGCAGGTTTTTAATAGTTTAAGTCTGCTTTCAATTTAAAGTAAGGATTGCTTGAAGTCCATAGGTTGCAATGCGATGGTTTGCAGAATTTTCAGAGCTTTTGAAGTTCGAATCAAGCAATATAAATCCTACGTGTGATGTCTATGGGGATTTTATGTAGGTGCAATGCCTAATTTCCTTTTTTTCTGTTCTTCTTTCTTTAATTTAAGCACTTAATGATGGCATATATTATCATTCAAAAAGATACAGACACCAGATATGTCAATCTCTGATCTTTGCTCTTAAAATGCCTATTGATAAAGCTTAGACAATTCCTCCTCTAGAAATTCAACAAGAAAGCATCAAAAGACCCGAATACAACCCCTGATACGGTTCAAGGTACCGTCACAATAACCACAATAGCCACTAAACACTTTTTCTTGCCTTACTTTGATCCTCAAACCCTTACCCTTTGCCCACACCTTTTGTAAGCCACAAAATCCATTTTAAGCCACAAAAATTAACAGATAGTAATCCCTAAAGGACCTTTTTGGCTACTACCCTGCATAAGGTTCCCCGTGTGTCCTAAATCAAATATCCCAGACCTGATCCCTAAGAATGACAGCCTTCAAATATTTACAGATCTACACAACTGTGTGTTATCATCTAGATCCTCAAATCAAAATTAGAGTGAGAATAGGACAAAATGATAGGTTTCAAATCTGTAAAAGTGACCAAAGGAGGCACATACAAATAGATAAATATGAGGTGGATCAAATTATCATCTTCAATGACAAGCAATGTCCTTGTATGACATCCATCTTTTGTCAAACCAACAAATTAGATACTCAATCATGCCAAAGATCAGGTTACAGAAATGATCACAGCCCGATCACAATTCAAATCTTAATTTCATTATAACTCTATACTATCACAAATGAATCTATTCATCAGATAGCCAGCTATTGCACATTAACTTGATATTTGACGTGCATGATAGTCAGAGTAGGGGTCTGAAATTAAATAATAGACTCAAAAAAATCTCCATAAAATTTTATTAAGGATCCTAATAATTCCAATTCTTATACCAGGTGTAATTTCTTAAACCTCATTCTTAAGTACATTGCTTGTATTCAAGAATGCTATTGCCCTAGGTATGCAGGGATTAGAATCAACAACTCATGAAGTATACTGCTCATGGACTTATATTTGAACGTTCATCAAAGGTTAACACACTATATAAATCAAAACTTATATTTCATGAGTTCATCAAAGAACTCATGAAGTATTATTTTATAGTTTCCCTTATAAAATAATACTGCTTTCAGAACATAATATGAAAAACAAAAGCCTCTTTTGCTACCAACACTCGTTCATTTTGCTTTTTCTTAAAGCAATCAAGTTAATGAAGTCAACAAAAGGTGAGGAGCAAGAAAATCCTAGTTCTCAGCCAAGAAAAGAATCGCACAAGGACCATCTTGTCTAAAAAACGAAGACATTAAAAAATAAAAACTGACTCAAGGTATCCCTTTACTAATGCCTCAAATGAGGGGAATAAAAGTAATTAACCCAAACCAATATGTTCAACTTCACCCTCCATGACCATGAAACAATACTTGAACAGTTGGTGTACTAGAACTTTTTCCAAAACAAAATTAATGATATTAAAACAAACTATACAGACTATATCTTATAAGCATTGTTAATTCAAATTTGCTGCTTGTTCAAAAGCGAAAGATTTTGAAATCAAAATACAGAAGAAATTACTTTTTCAAACCCTAATCCATTTCAACCAGCCAAAAAGCTTTCAAAATGCAAGATACTCACAAAATCGATATAAAGGCATGCAGAATGTAAAGCAACTGAAACCATATGTTCACTTACGTATGTTGATGGAGAAAGTATCGCACATAATCGGAAACAATTTGTGAATCTGCTGCCTGGAAAAGAAGAATGGTAAACAAATTACTCGCAAAACAGAAATCAAAATTGGAAAACAATGTTGTTTAAGTGATGGTTTCCTAGTTATTCCACAATCTTAAGGTTCATTCAGAGACTTCCACGTCTACTGGATTCCTGTTTCTTGTACATGTTAAATCAAGTCGAGTAAGACTGGAAAAGGATAGAATATTTAACAATTCATATTTCTTGATGCCGTCAAAAGTTTGGTGACCCTAGTTACAGTCCACTCTTAAAAGTGGTTAAAGCATGATCTGTAGTGTATTTAATTATGGTAAAGCGGTTAGAGGTGGTAACAGAGATAGAAGTAGTGAATCTGATACAGGTTCACAGGCGATGGTGGTGTACTAGAGGGCAGCATGGGCGGTTTGTCAGCTAGACATGGTGATGTGTTGGCGGTGTCATCTGGCAATCATGGGTAAAACCAATGGCAAACCAACTGTACAATGGTCAAGGTGGAGCATTTTAAGGAGGAGTACAACTCGGGAGAGCCAATGTGGTGCATAAAAGATGAAGCATGGTGGAGATGTAATTTCACAATGATAGATGTGATAGGAGGCAAAGTGGTGCAACTTTTTTCTGCCACAACGAAAGTGTCTTCTGGAGTGTGATTTATGCATACTTAAAACATTATATTAGGGTTTTATATTATGAGTAATGTTATTTGGACCTAAAAATCTGATCTAGTAGAACTATTGGATCAACACCAACTTCCGATGTTTGATGGGACCACCGTTAATCAAAATGTCATAATGAATTAGATCAGTAAATTAGGTCCCAATAGAATTACTCTTTATATTAGTGCAATAATAAGAAATAGAAAACAAAATCCAAAAAAGTACAAAGGGGTATATATTAGCACTTACTAGCATACTTTAATCCTTATATCTACAAACACTGGTATCCATTGGCACGTATGAACAAATTCAAGCTACATAACATAGTCAGCATCCCAATTGTGAAGCAAATGACATTTCATTTGACTAGCTTTCGTATAACTGTGCATCAAACTTATCTCTTTGACCACAATCAGTTATGTTATACAATTGCACCATACAATCAAATCACTTCCCTTAAGAAACTAAAAAGGCAAAGGACAGTGCCTGTAAACAAACAGGAGACAAAAGTAATTTTTCATTGTTCCACCTGCTGAATCTATGTTTCGTTGCTGACCGAAAGAAAAAAAAAAGGGGACACATAGCCAACAAGCATTAACCGAAACACACAAGAACTTATTGGATTTGTAGTAATTCATTTTTGACTTCAAGTACACTTCTGAATCCGTTAACTCTCGTTAGTATTAGCATCACTTGCAACTCTTCACATATAACACCACTTGTACATTAATATAATCAAATGGGAAAAATAACCCAAAAAAGTCCATAACGTTTCGCCACCTTAGTTCCATAATATACCCAAAAGTAGTACAATAGTATGAAAACACTAAACCAATTAATAGCATGATACCCAAAAACACAAATAAGACAAATAATATCTAAATGAAAACATCGTAAAAGATCATCCAAATGATTCATATCATATATATGTAGAGAGAAAGAGAGAGAATACCGATCCAGAGCGACACAAGTAGACATTATCGGTCAACTGGGTGATCTTGTCCGATGCCCTATTCGCAACATACATTCCTATCAAAAAGAGACGATATAAAAACCTAAAAAATTTCCCTTTCCATTTTTCCAGTGTTTTCTCGGGAAACAAACAGATGGTATAACCTAACAGAGATTGGGATCTCAGGAGAAATAAAAATCTACATACCGGTGCTGGTACGGGAATCGGCGCCGAGGACGACGCCGCCGTTGTAAGTGACACCTATGATGGTGGTTCCCATCGAATGGGGTGAGTTCAGATCGCCAATGTTCACGTCCATTGTGTGTGTGTGTGCGTGTGTGTGCGTGCGTGCCCGTGCGAGAGAGAGTTTCGTCCGGCGAGAAGAGAGAGTTTCTTGTAGGCAAAGAATGGAGATCGCATCCGTCCCTTTGGTAAGCCGTAGGTGCATTATTTATCTAAACAAAATAGGCAAATTCTCACGAAAATTAGTTTGGATTTTTTTTCCTTTTTTGCTGTGAAATTTGTAGAAATTCGAATTGAAAACAGATGTTGCCCAAGAAAAAAAAAAAAACACTGGAAAAATCACTAATTAAGGCGGCCTTTGCTAACATGATATTTTTGTTTTTTTTTTATTTTATGGCAAAAAAAATAAAAAGAGGATTGGTGAATGTTTTTGTTTTTTTTTTTACTACTCTATTTTGGAAATAAGGCCAAAATATAAAAACATTTAAAAGGATATTTATAAAAACATCAACAACAAAAAAAACACGTGCGCGTCTTATCCCTCCCTTTAATGAGGTCTTTACCTTCAAATCTTTGTTAACACTAAAAAATTAGGTCATTTGGTTAGAAGTATAAAATGGTCATTNAGGATGTTTATAAAAACATCAACAACAAAAAAAACACGTGCGCGTCTTATCCCTCCCTTTAATGAGGTCTTTACCTTCAAATCTTTGTTAACACTAAAAAATTAGGTCATTTGGTTAGAAGTATAAAATGGTCATTTCCCTCTTTTACCTACATACTGCTCACCCAGCTTTTCTCTCTCATCTATGTCTCTTTGCAAAAAATCCGAAAAATTGTCTATCATCTTATTTGCGAAGACTCCAAAGATGGACTTTTGGTGGGCTTGGGTGGTGGTGAGTGATGCTTCGGCGGTTGGTGGTAGTGGGTTTTGCTTAGTTTGGTACTGGATGTTGGTGGTTTTTGGTTGCGGGTTATGTATCGATGGGGTTTTGGTGGTGGTTGGGTGGCTAGTGGTGGTGGACTTTGCTTGATTTCAGTGTTAGGTGGTTGGATGGTGGTTGATTTTGATGATGGGTGAAGTATTAGTGGGGTTTTGGTGGTGGTTGGATGGTTGGTGGTGGGTTTTGCTTAGATTGGTGTTGGGTGGCTGGGTAATGGGTTTTGCTTGGTTTTCAGTGGTGGTGAGTTTTGGGGATAAGGGGTGGGTTTCAGTGGTTGTGGTGCGTTTCGGGGTTGTAGGTTGTTGTGGCATTGTAGGGGTGGATTTCAGTGGTGGTGATGGGGTTGGGTGGTGGTGTATTTTGGGGGTGGGCGATGGGTTTCACAAAGGGGTTTGTAGGGGTGGGTTTCGGTGGTGGTGGTGGGAGTTTGATGGTGATAGGTGGTTGGGTGTATAGTGGTTTTGGGTGGTGAATTTTTAGTATAATACCAAACAAATTTTTTATTTTTGTTTTATAATTTTTTAAATATAAATAACTACCAAACATATTTTATATTTTTAATTTTTATCAAAAAGAAAACAAAAATTAGTTTTATTTTTATTTTTATAAAAAAAACACAAAAACGAAAATGTTACAAAATACATCCTAAGTTTTATCATATTATCTAAGGACAATTAAGTCTTTTTTAATAATTTATTTTTTTAATTTTATTGATGTCTAAGGGACGGGTTAGTCCACGAAATCTGTTATTCAGTTTGAAATCTAATAAACCTGATAATTGGTTCATTTGAGTTCGAGTCCAATATCATTCAAGAGAGGGCTTGGTCTGCCCCCAAGCTATTACTTGTCTCAAAACTCGGCCCATTAGCCCACCCGCAAAAAATTGTTAAAATCCGGACTAAGAATCCATTCGCCCGTCCACTTTGTTTGAAAAAAAAATTGACCATTGAAAATTGAGGGGCATATTCCTCTCAAAAATATATATAATTTAAATACTAAGTTAAGTAATATATAGGAAATTATTCATTATTTACATTTTGTCCATATTGACTCCACTTTTAATTCAAAATTTTAATTTATAAAAATACTAAGTTCAAAATTTTTACATGAAGATTTATATATAAAAAAAGTGAATGACGGGTCAAGTCGGGTTACGGGTAGTCTCCCCCTATTCAAAGCCCGACCCGACCTGCCCAAGAACTCACCTAGGTAAGGGCTTGGGTCTACCCTACCCAGGCCCAAAATTTCACGGGCCTAGCCTGGTCTAGCCCATAGACACCACTATAAATCAACTCCATCAATAATATATTTTGTTTCAATTTTATCATTCCCATCAACACAACAATTATATTTTTATCAATAATATTTGTTATTAGTGTCTAAAAACAATTTTTTTTCTAATTAATGCATACCCAAAACACGTAATTAAAGACATATGGAAATGATAAATCATACAACTCTATCTTTTTTTATATTTAACTTTTTTAAGTATATGCTTTTCAACTCACCTAACTATTAAATCTCAACCATAAAGATATATAAATATAGATTTTGAAAATAAAAACTAATATTTGAATACAATCATCGAGAAAAGTTCATCTACTTATATTATTTTTTTAATTTTCTTTCTAAATTTTGAATTAATTAGAAAATAATTACTCTCTTATGGCATTAAAAAAAAATTCAGGCATCTGAAGCTACAACATTGTATTTAAAAGAGAAAATAAAAATATTTTTGTATATTATGACTTTTATACTATGTATGATTCACTTATATTTGAACTCTTATTTGTCAATATGATGTATGTGTTTAATAATTAAAAGTATAACTTACTTGGATTATAATTTTAGATACAAAAATCATATTCTAATAAATAAAATCAAATATAAAATTATAAACATAAATGTAATTCGTGAGTTCGTGGAGGATAAATTTGGAACAAAATACACTATTAATGGAGTTTAGGACTTGTTGGTAATCAATTATCAAAAGTGTGTCTTAATTGTTCTAAAGTAAATATGATAAGACTTAATGATTATTTTAGAAAAAAAGTAGGTCTTATTGATAATTTTNTGACTTAATTGTTCTAAAGTAAATATGATAAGACTTAATGATTATTTTAGAAAAAAAGTAGGTCTTATTGATAATTTTTCCAAAAGAAAAAGTTAAGTCATAAATNCAACACAACAATTATATTTTTATCAATAATATTTGTTATTAGTGTCTAAAAACAAATTTTTTTCTAATTAATGCATACCCAAAACACGTAATTAAAGACTTATGGAAATGATAAATCATACAACTCTATCTTTTTTTATATTTTANTCTAAAAACAAATTTTTTTCTAATTAATGCATACCCAAAACACGTAATTAAAGACTTATGGAAATGATAAATCATACAACTCTATCTTTTTTTATATTTTACTTTTTTAAGTATATGCTTTTCAACTCACCTAACTATTAAATCTCAACCATAAAGATATATAAATATAGATTTTGAAAATAAAAACTAATATTTGAATACAATCATCGAGAAAAGTTCATCTACTTATATTATTTTTTTAATTTTCTTTCTAAATTTTGAATTAATTAGAAAATAATTACTCTCTTATGGCATTAAAAAAAATTCAAGCATCTGAAGCTACAACATTGTATTTAAAAGAGAAAATAAAAATATTTTTGTATATTATGACTTTTATACTATGTATGATTCACTTATATATGAACTCTTATTTGTCAATATGATGTATGTGTTTAATAATTAAAAGTATAACTTACTTGGATTTTAATTTTAGATACAAAAATCATATTCTAATAAATAAAATCAAATATAAAATTATAAACATAAATGTAATTCGTGAGTTCGTGGAGGATAAATTTGGAACAAAATACACTATTAATGGAGTTTAGGACTTGTTGGTAATCAATTATCAAAAGTGTGTCTTAATTGTTCTAAAGTAAATATGATAAGACTTAATAATTATTTTAAAAAAAAAGTAGGTTTTATTGATAATTTTTCCAAAAGAAAAAGTTAAGTCATAAATGTCACACCCTTAGTCACATAATTGGTGTGAATAAGTCATAAATGGACCACACATGCTCCATTGCCCGGAATTCGAATTCATGAATTAAGAGCAAATTCAGTATAAATTCGTGATTTTACTTCACTAAATTCATAAACTCAAAATTTTAAACTCTTTTCTAAGTAAAAAGCCCAAAATTTTACACTGGGTCAGTCCATATATGTAAAAGGTTGCCTTCCTTTTGCTTTCCGGCTAACGCCCAAGTATAGCAGTTGTGACAATGAAGAACCCTTTCACCTTATAGGCATGAGTTGCCTTCACCTTCTCATGCCTACTCAATGTGGGATGTTGTACAACAAGTCAAAATGTCTTCCAAAGGCTCGTGTTATTCTCAGCCTTTTGTTTAAACATTTATTTTTTATGAAAATTAATAGTTAAATAAATTTAAATAATTTATTATATATTTGTGTATAAAATTTATTTTTTTATTAACTTTTATATCTATACTACTTTAAAGTATCAACATACTTGAGTGTATCTCTCTTTCCTTGTCCCTTCCTATACTTATCTCTCATTTGCATCAATTACAATATGATTTCTTGTATTTTAATTTTTTTTTCTCACTATAAGAGTAGCAGAAAACCAACACCACTATTGTCACACCACTATAAAAATGTCATGAATAGTTCCAAGTCATTTCTTGGACTTAATACTTAGTTACCAAACAACTATATATGTGTATGAATTCTTGCCTTCAAAACAACTATTAATAATTTCGAATGTGATTAACAAACATCTTTGTAAATCTAATGCTAAAATCTTAGATAGATAAATGCAACATATCCTCTCCTTTATCTTGTTTAAAACTCATAAGTTTTTTTTTAGGAGGCATGCATCCAATAAATATAGATTATCATTCAAAAAATTTCGTCACCTAAATGTTGTGAATTATCTTTTAGGTAAAAAAAAATATATTGCAAAATATTTTACTTGGTTAACTCATATCAGTTTGTCAGCAAAAGTATACATCACCAATCACTTTCAACACCTATACTGCCAGTTATGGATAGTCTTGATCAAGCGATGCAATAAGAAATCATCTCCTA